TCCCCCACCCAAACTTCCTTCCAAAGCTCATCAGAGTAACGGCTTTCTGTAACGTTATTCCAAAGACTGAATCTTCAGCTTCAATCAAAACAATCCGACTTGTGGCTGGTGCTTAAGGAAGATTTGGTGCAATTTCATAGTCAGTGTTAAAAATGAGGCTGAAAAAAGCAAAGAAACAAAGTTGTGGAGTTATGAAATCATCCGTTATTTAGAAGCACGTCATGCTGCCATTTGAAGTGAATCCTAATGTCTCAATACTTTTGTTGGCCAACTCTCTAAACACTGTTGTTAAGACGTCCAATTTACACACCTCAGGCCTATTTTGTAAGCGGCTCTGACTGACAAGCAAACCACCAACACCTTTGTCCTCACCTATTCCCCCACCAGGGAGAGGGCATGCCCAGATCCGGTAACTGTTTATTGAGCGGCCTGAGAGCCTCGTGGCAGCTGCTGCCTTCAAGTCAAGCATTAGAAGTGTGAGAAGGCAGTCGATGAGTCTGGACCCTAACATGTAATTACTCACGAGATGACAACCCCTTAACAAAGGAGGGAGGGCAAGGGAAAAAAAATCAATCATCGTTGAATTACTATCACTGAATGTCCTGCAAATTACCTGTGCAGAAGAGAAAAAGAAATTACCACGCATTCGATCCGCCGACCTCAACTCCACCTCGAGACAATGGCAGGCGGACAGAAAAGGGAACAAACCTCAGTGGGATCGCTTGAAAGAAATGCACAGCTAAACTTCTTTCTGCTGCGCATTCCTGAAGCGGAGATGTAAACCTTAACGACCACTTAGCAGTGACTCCTGAGCTTTGCTGGCTTTAGATCACAGATTCCTGCATATGTAATGGCAGAAGCTAAGGAAACAAGCGCTGCGTGCTTATGCAAGCAGGCACTTTGAGGTAACTATGAAGGTGGCAGGCATTCGATTCCTATCCCAAATTGATGGCTATTAAAGAGGAAGAACGGTCGAACTATTGCGCGACCCACAGTCGGGAACATAAGGGACATGACGCTACCTCTGTGCAGAAATCGCGCCCACTTCTGCCTGATTAATTCAATTTCTTCATCGAGCGCTGCGCACGCGCGAGCGCCAATGTGTACGCCGCGGAGATGTCACTTGTGCGCGCGCTGTGGAGTTTCTCAGTATTTCGCTGCGTTACTGCAGCTGAAATGCGGTTATGAAACCCGTCCAACCTTATCTGCTCAAAGAAAAGCGAAAGACAGCCGGCGGCAAAAGAAAGCCAGAGACAGAAGAGATTAACGTCACCTGCGCTGGCACTGAACCAAACCAAAACAGCGTGCCAGGTCACGCCAGGAGAGGATGCTGGCCTGTCATCGGTGAAGGCAAGCAGGCAAAAGGAGCGTGCTGTAGGGCTGCTGAGACATAGTGAAAGGGATCGACTCATATTTGCGATTACGTGGTATCAACATTTCTGCATATGTTTTTTTTTAAAGCTTTCGGAACAGAATATCTCAATTATTGATGCGTGATGGCTTCTTGGATATAGCCGAGCTCATATCTCAAGGAAATTTAAAGTTGGCTTTTCAGTCGACATGTAATCCTGTACATTCTCGTCCTACCGGTGCGGCACAATTGTTCCACAGAGATCAATGACGTTTCATATTATCTTTTGTCATTCTTGGCTCGACTGCCCCTTCGTTCCCATGTTGTCTCCCCGTGTGTCTGTTCTGTTTGACTAAGTGAAATTGAAGAGGAGGGTAATAGGAAACGAGCAAACAAAGGTAGCTTCTCCTAAGCCGGTTGACATGGAGACACAGATATCAAAGTTGAGGAGAGCCAACTCAATTTAATGGACTGTTAAGTAGAAGCAGGAGAGGATTTTTTTCCTCTCCTTCTTTCCCCTCTCTCACACTCTCTCACCTAGCTAGCTGAGCAGCACATATCTGTTCCAAATGGAGGGAGAGCCTGAGTCTCCAAATGGAGCGGGCTCCGTTTGATGACCCTATTTGTATTCTGCTGGTGCGCCGCTTCTGCTGACCTGGGAATGAGAGATACAGGCAGGCAGCAGCTTTATCTGGCCAACAGGCCACCCTTGGTTTCTGCCTTCAGTGCTCTCCTTGCCTGCCCGCTGACCGCATGCCTCTCGGTGCCTTTCAATTCCGTTTCTGCAATGAACCGGCCAGATGTTGCGCAGTTAATGCGTCTTGCAAGACAAAAGATTTCAAGCTTGTTGTCCCCGCCTCCCGTGGAGCCAAGCGTTATCGTGTTTATTGAAGGGTTTTGAAGCACATGCTACAGTACGAGTATGATGTTGGCCAGGTGATGGCCACATGCTTGTTAGTCATCTCACATTTTTTACCCCGGAGAGCAAGTGAAGGTGAATCTCTTCCTGCTTGTGCCCTTTGCATGATGAAATAGATGGTGTCCAGTGGTTTTAAAGCTATTACTACTAATTTACCTTGAATTACTCCAGAAAGGATTCACTGGGTTAATAACAGAATATCAAATAGACTGAGTTAAAAACGAGGTCGGTACCTGTGGGAAAGTGCTCATTGACCGGCCAGTTGTCCACCTGCAAGGTTGCATTGCCCCCGTTCCTGGTGAATCGGACCAAATGGTATTTGCCATCGTTTATCAGCGTGTTTACCTCCTTGACGCTGATGTCCACCGTTCCGATGTTGAACGTCACACCTATTTTGCCTTGTTCCTGAAACAGACACAAAGAGCACAAAAGAGTTGGTCTGACGCCATCAAGCAAAGTGAGCGCCGCTTAATAAATGCAAGCGATACGAAATTGTGTGGCACCGCTGTCAGCGCTAGATGAATTTGCACCGCAGATTCCACCCACATGTATTGTTGTGCCGTAATGAATTAATTATACAATAAACTAACTGTAAAAAGTTCAATAAAGCTACTTGGATGAATGCCCCCGGCTGGTGCTAATGGTGAACTACTCAGAGAACCTGAGGACGCTAGCGCGCTACGCTTCATTATACCACTGTAATGTGATGAAAATAGGCTGCCAGCAGAGATTGTAATGATGAGTAATGCTCCCTGCAGCCTGTCACCACAAAACTGGCAGGACAGATGCTTTTTCTGCCGCGGTCCTTACAGAACGCATGAATACCATATGCTTTGTTTAGCTCTTAATGCTAAACCAGTTATACCATGTCCGTAAATGGCGATGCCCCCTCGTCATTTTCTGATTTCTCTCCCCTCGACCCCACTAATTTTCACGAGCTGCCAGAGTGTGTTTTATTGTGACTGCTTGTGTATTCATGGTCATGCAGGCGTTACAAGCAAAAGGTTTTAAAGCGGAGGCAGGGCTTGAGTGAGTGGCGATGGGGAAAGGCTGTGTTTTCTGTGTCATTTGTTTTAATCCCCCACAGGGAATCTCTCAGTGTAATTACCTTCTTTAGAAGCCCAGAGCAGTGGGACTATTTCTCATAACAAAACCAAAATTAGGAAAGCCTGAACACAGAGCAGACACATACTGTTAATTGATCAGCAGAGACACTGGCCCTGCATGGCTGACTGTGACAATACAGACCCTGATAATGTCAGGCTGAATTTGACAGTGCTCGTCAGTGTAAAGGCGCTGCAGGATTGCTACACGTTAAATGACACAACACTTAAACCTGCTGACCTCTATTTAATTTTACAGGCTCTTCATACCTAAGAGGAGCACTTAATAAGGCCAAGCTATGCTTGATGCAGTTCCTCTTGCTGTAAGTGAGACTATATGGTGAGACTATACCACCCGATTACCAAAGGAAGCTTCACTGTGCAGTAAAACAGGAAGCGTGTCATGTTTTTTCCCTGACACATTTTTCTATATTAAGTTAGTTAACAACAAATCAAACAGCAGTCCAGGTGCCTTAATGGCTGTGGCTAAACTATTTATCAAGATTCCATTTCAGAGAACTACAAAGTCCACATTACCAGGCTGGAGGTTTGCTTGTTGGATAAGCTGCTGGGAGAATGTGGATCATGCACTGTCGAAATCTTTTTTCCCCCACTACTTGCTTTTTACTTTATATTTTACTTGCTGGTTAGATGCTTAAACTACAAAGGCCCCACTCACACAGGCCTTGGGACCATCTGACAACCACTTTCAAGTAGGGCTGCCACAAACGATTATTTTGATAGTCGACTAGTCACCCATTATTTT